CTTCTGCCTCTGGCTGACGCATGCGCAATGACCATCTGGGAAGAAGCTGCAGATCAGGCAGACTGACGACGAAGGAGAATTCTGCAGCAAGGAGCTGCAGGACTATTTGACGCAAAAGGGTATATCACACAACATCTCCCTCCCCTACGCGCATCCGCAGCAGGGCGTCGCCGAACGCACCAACCGCACCCTCATGGCAAAGTTGCGCACAATATTGAAATAGTCAAAGTCCCCACCACCTACTGGCCGTACGCAATGCATCATGCCGTGCGCGTACACAACCTTCTCTCGACCATGACCATCACGGGGAACTTGTCGCCGCATATAAAATGGACAGGCAAGAAGGGCGACACCTCCGTGCTCCACATGTGGGGTTGCATGCTGCAGTATCGCTTGCCTACCTCAACCAAGTTCACAAGCCGCGCGCGATGGGGCATTAACCTGGGCATGAGCTATAAGTATAAGTCGTGGATCGATTTGGAACTGCCTAGGAACAAGGTGACAAACACACGCGACGTCATTGTCTACGAGTGACTCAATCTTGCCCAGTACCGCGCGGACGAGCAGAGCAGGCAGGCGCAAATCGCGTCTGCGTAAATGTCGGGCATAGCTACGCTACCCCTGAGGACGAAGCCGCCTCTGCCATCCTGGAGCAGGACAACATCAGCCAATTCCCCGACATCAACTGTCACAGCGACGACGATGACGACAACGACGAAACACCTCTGGGAGGAATGGGAGGCAGCAGCAGCAGAAGAGGACCCGCACCGCACTCTCCGCATGAGCAAAGAGCGACGACGACGATGTGCTGGAAGTCATCCCGCAGCATAGCCATGACGTCACCATCTCAGGACTTCAGCTGTTGGGGCTTCACACCGCCATCTCCACGGCCCCAAGCGTCATCAAACCAAAGAACCTGCAACAGGCACTGACGGGACCACACAGCAAGGAGTTGTGTGCCGCTATGGATGCGGAAATCAAGGCACTTGAATCACGAGATACATGGGTACTTGTCGACCGCGCAATAATCAAAGGAAGGAGAGCTCTTTCGGGCAAGTGGGTCTTCCGCGTGAAGATCATAGCAGACAAAACCATCGAGCGCTTCAAGGTGCGCTGGACTGTACGCGGTTACGATCAGAGGCACGGCATCGATTTCAACTAGACGTTTGCTTCGGTCAGTCGTCATACCTCCGACAAAATCCAACTCGCCATTGCTGCAGCAAGGCACTTACCTCTTCGTCAGGTCGATGTGAAGAACACGTTCCAATACGCGTTGGTGGATGCAAATTGTGGAGCAACCGCATACCTATGGGGACGGGGATCCACGCGTCTGACAATTGAAGAAGCCCCTTTACGTGAATAAATAAGCACCACGGCTCTGGAAGTAGCACTTCAACAAAATCCTACTCGAGATAGGATTCTCGCAGCTACCGCACGACGCAGGCATGTATCGCCTACATTTTTGCGGCGACTACATCCTACTCACCATGTATATCGATGACTTGCTTTACACATGGACGAGCAACACGCTCCTTGACCAGTTCGAGAAGAACGTGGCAATGCGCGTTGACATCTCTACTAATTACGACCTGAAACGGTATTTGGGCCTGATTATCACGTACGCGCGAGAAGCCATTCACCTCTCAGCTGCAAGTACGCTGACACACTTGAGAAGCGTTTGAACATCTCCCCTGCACCACTCTCCACTCCTTACCGCACACCAGTACCGAACCACAAACCTGACAACAAAGCCCTATTCCCCGCAGGCCTTCACACTTACCAGCCGCAGCTGGGATGCCTGCTCTTTGCCTCAGTGACCTGCAGGCCAGATCTCTCCTACATCGCGAGTCAGCTAGCCCAATACTCACGCAAACCAACCGCTGAAAATCTTCTAGATCTTCTGCGCGCCCTGGAATTCTTCATCTCTACGCCCGACATTGGGCTCTGCGTACTCCACAGTCGCAACACCCTCTTTCAACCTCATCGGTTACGTGGACGCCGATCACGCTGCTGACCCCGACAATCGTCGGTCCTGAATTGGGTTCCTGTTCTTCCTCGAACCAACAGGGCCCATCTCCTGGAACTCGCAGACGCAGGATCTGGTTGCCCTGTCATCGGCAGAAGTAGAGTTCATCGCCGCGACTGCAGCAACTCGCGAGGGGCTTTACCTACAGGAGTTCCTGCAGGAAGCGAAAACTCCAGCTTCGCCAATCTTCCGCCTGCATTGCAACAACGAGAGCGCGATTACAATCGCGATAAGCCAAGATTCGTCATCCGCACCATGCACATCGTGCTACGATACTAAGTTGATCTGACCTATTGCCCAACGGGTGACATGGCAGCCGATTTTCTCACAAAGCGACTGCCCCGTCAGCAGTACCAGCACTGCTCCGAACTCAGCAGAGTACTCAAGCGGGTCAAGACTTGCTACGGCCAGGAGTGTAGGGGGGTGTTACGAATAGAAGATTGTGAAAATAATGTGCACTCCTAACATTAGCAAGTAAAGATCGCAGTAAAGAGTACGAAGGCGAAAAGACGGAATGACACGAAAAGTCGCGTACGGTTTGGTTGTCAAAGGTACGAGGAAAAAGTTTAGAACAAGGAAGGAGTGGTTGTACTAGCAAGCAGTTGAGTACATATAGGAAACCCTAAGTTGGGCTGTACTCGCTATAGAGTACCCCACTGCAGGCTAGACAAATACAGCATTCTGACACACCCCCATAGCCAAAGTGGGGTGCAATCAGCACAACAAGCATGCATAGCAATAGTTCACAAGCACAAGTAAAGCTAGAGGTAGTAACAGAGGGCATGTGAGGAGGAGGAGGGACTGTGAGAGGAGAGGAGATGGGAGGCGACGACGGAAGCTGCAGACACAGAGGAGCTGCTGGCTCAGTGGCTACCGAAGCAATGGCCCGGACTACAGGAGTAACTAGCTCCGCGGAGATTGTAGCCTCCTGACTGGAGCAACTGACCCACAGGCGACTGGCGACTACCGGAGATTGTAGCCTCCGGACTACTGGTGCTGCTGGCGACACGACTGCTACCTCCGCTCAACCTCCGCCAACTGCCCCACGCCCCTATCACACACCCCCTGCTGTTCCCCTAGTACTGCTCACCCGCCACCCCCCTGGTACCACTCCAACTCCGACGGCTCCAACACATCCACCCCCCTCAGCGGCAGCTGCAGAAGTGGGAGACGGAGGAGGAGGAGCAGGGGACGGTGCACATACCCGTCACTCCCATACCCGCCACCCCTACACTCGCCACCCCCAAACCCTAACTCGGGCAGCACGGGGCAGGAGCGTGGGCAGCAGCGCGGGGGACGGCGCGTGGCTCCCCAGGGCGCCGCGACGGGGCAGTGGGGGCCGCGCTTGACTCCCCAGGGCGCCGCGACGGGGTAGCGGGGGGTCGCGCGCGGCTCCCTAGGGCGTCGCGACGAGGTAGCGGGGGGTCGCGCGCGGCTCCCCAGGGCGTCGCGACAAGGAAGCGGGGGCCGCGCGCGGCTCCCCAGGGCGCCGCGACGGGGCAGCGGGGGGCCGCGGGCGGCGCGCCAGGGCGCCGCGACGGAACAGCGGGGGCAGCGCGCCAGGAAGGAAAGGGGCCGCGCGCCCCGGGGCGCGCGCCAGAGAGTAAACCGCCGCGCGCTGGGATAAAAAATTACGTCGCACGCCACAGGGCGCACGACAGACCGAGTAGCAGCGGAAGCAGGTAGGTGGGCCCACAGGCCAAGGAAGGACAGGCTCTGATAGCATGTCAAAGGTACGAGGAAAAAGTTTATAACAAGGAAGGAGTGGTTGCACTAGCAAGCAGTTGAGTACATATAGGAAACCCTAAGTTGGGCTGTACTCGCTATAGAGTACCCCACTGCAGGCTAGACAAATACAGCATTCTGACATTGGTAGCATCTGGACCGTCGGTGGAGAAGCATCTGGCAGCTGCAGTGGCAAGGGCTCCGGCATTAACAGGTTCGTAACCATCTAATGTCACACGGTTGGATTTCGCTGCAATAAGGGAATGTATCCCTTAAAGGACATGGCTAGTCTAAGTCGTTCCGTATGTCCCTGTACTCGTATATAAACAAATGTATTTGCATGTATTTATTATCTCAGTCATTTTATATCCACTCTGACGTATGATAGTTTGTTGCAGCAGTTTGTTTATTCACTCCTGCAACAAACTCTATGCGAACCTTCCTGAGGTGATCCAAGGCTCGTTCAACCTTTTGATCACAACAGGAGGGATAAGAGAGGGGAGAAATCCCGTTGGTATCAAGTGTGAAACCTATTTGTGCAAAGCATGAAATTATCCCTCTTAAGTCATACTGAGTAATTCTGTGAGTAGTGTACGCAGCATACACTCTCCCAGATACAAACTTACAGTAAACGGGGGGGCTTCACAGCGAGTACGCAAGGCGTGGGGAAGGCGTGCAGCTATTTTCCGCCCTTAGCCTCGGCTCTGTCATTCCCTGCCTATCCGACCCGACTTGGCATCTGCTCGCGTCGCATCGCCAGAATGTCCACTCCCCGCATCCTTGTCGTGAATGGCGCCAAGCGCGCATTGCAGCACCAATGTGCCGCATTGCGCATTGCGCATTGCTCCTTTTCGGGGAGGCGCGGGAGTGCGATGTGCAATCAGAACCCGCTCGCTGAATGCGACTGTCTTGACGCACCCAATCACACGCTTGCTCGAATCTCCTCTATTCGACGCCAACCCGCCCCCCCTCGCTAGCGAAGTGCTCCCTTACACCTGGTACTTTCACTCCTCTGAGCGTCATCACAGCCCTTGTCGCCCATCACCCCTCGCCGCAGCACGACAGAAGCGTCTCCTTCTCGACTGCGGGGAGCCTCCTGGCCATCTTCCGTTGATGTCACCACAACCATCATGTGACGGATTTCACAACTATAAAAGTATACCCCAGTTGCTGCGAGGTTCCGATGGACATCTTGCGGTGCGATGAGCGAGTGCGTTGACATCTCGATCTCTTTCCGTGTCATAAGATCATGGCGGAGGGGTGGTTGGCCAAGTGCGCATTCCTGGAGGTGGACGGCAGGGAGGACTCCGCGCACGCAGTGGAGCGGGGAGATGCGGGGACGAGCGGGGCGGAGGAAGAGGCGGAGGCGAAGCTAGCGCGGAGGAACACGGTGGAGGTGGTGGCGGCCCTCGGGCTCGTCGCGCATCTGTCTGGCGGTGCGTTTCCGTTTCCGTCCCTTTGCACCGCTCTGCACCCATGCATGCACGTGTCTGCTGCACCTGTTGATGGGTCCCACTTCCAACCACCGCCATGTCTCACATTCTCGTTGCGCTCCCGCGCCACGCCTCTCCGTTCTTCTCAGGCAAGGCGCGCCACTCCCCGGCGGCATGGCAGCGCAAGCTGGAGCAGCTGCTGCCGCCGCACGCGTTCGCTCTGCGCGGTCGAGTGGCGGTGGTGGTGGTGGTGCCAACGCGCGAGCAGCAGCTCGCAGCGGAGAGGGCGTGGCGCAGGCTGCAGCGGCAGCAGGGCGCGCAGGGGGGGGACGCAGCGGGCGGGGGGGGCGCGGTGGAGGTGCACGTGGTGGTGGCGGGTCTGTCGCGCCTTCCCCGTGGGCTGCCTCCGTGCACCTTGGCGCTCGTCACAGCCGTGTGTGCGCCGCCCTCTGCTGCACCCACTGCCTCGGTGTCCTCTCTCTGGCCGCCCTCCAGGTGCGTCGCTCCTCCTGTCCTATATTCTCGTATGCCGCATTCCCCATGCCCCATGCCCCATGCCCCATGCCCCATGCCCCATGCCCCATGCCCCATGCCTCATGCCCCATGCCTCATGCCCCATGCCCCATGCCCCTTGCCCCATGCTCCTATCTTATGCATGAAACCCCGTTTAACAACCATTTACTCTCATGCACCAACCACTTACTCTCATGCACCAACCACTTACTCTCATGCACCAACCACTTACTCTCATGCACCAACCATTTACTCTCATGCACCAACCACTTACTCTCATGCACCAACCACTTACTCTCATGCACCAACCACTTACTCTCATGCACCAACCACTTACTCTCATGCACCAACCATTTACTCTCATGCACCAACCATTTACTCTCATGCACCAACCATTTACTCTCATGCACCAACCATTTACTCTCATGCACCAACCATTTACTCTCATGCACCAACCATTTACTCTCATGCACCAACCATTTACTCTCATGCACCAACCACTTACTCTCATGCACCAACCATTTACTATTTCTTCTGTTCTTGCCTCTCATACCTCATTGTGCATGCGCATTGCGTACCATCACATGTCTCTACATGCACCTAGATGCCCATGCACGTCCATGCATCCGCCTACATCATGTCCATGCATGCTCATGCATCCCCCTACACGCCCATTCATGACCCTACACCATGCATCCCTCTACATGCCCATGCATGCCCCATGGCGCCAGGATCCACGCTCTCCTTTCCGCCCCAGCGCCACTCATCCTCATCTTGGGCCACCACCCCACTCTCTCAGCCGGCAGCGACACGTGGCGCCAGGTCATTGGCCTGTTAAAGGCCCAGGGCAGGTTCATGGATTTGGAGGAGGGTGGGGGAGCGGTGGCGAGGGCGATAGCAGCGAGGCGGGCGGCAGTGGAGGAGATGCGGTGCATGGTGCAGGGCGCTCGAGCAGCAGCTGCTGGGGCCAGCATGGGGGCTGCCTCACCACACGCCACGGGCTGGCATGACCTGCCATGGACGGTGGGTCACTGCACTGCACTGCATGCTATGCTACCTTCCTGCCATGGCCCATGGGTGGTTGCGTGCTGCCGTGGGCTGATAGATAGAGTATATTGCTCTGACTCCTGTGCCATATGCTTAGGTCTTTTGCACCTTCATTCTCATCTGTGCTCTCATGTTCGCACAGCAGCATCTGGTGTTCTGTCCCACCCCACCCAGCACCATGTTCTCCTAGCCTTTCCCCTCCTTCTCTCTGCCGGCAGGGCCTGTTCTCGCCGTCGTTCGGGGAGGCCTTGCAGCGAGCCGAGTCAGTGGAGGTGGTGCTGTGCCTCTGGCGCATCCTGCAGGGCCGCCACGGTGGGCGAGACGGCAAGCCCGCCGCCAGCTGGCTACCGGCAGGGCCGGAGTGGGCGGAGGATGAGGTGCCTCGGCGGGCGTTGAACGATATCGTGCATGTGGACGTGGTCGGCGATTATTGTCTCATCTGGTCCACCGATGTGTGCCACGAGAGCCGCAAGCAGGCAAGCACAAGTTAGGGTCGCCTGTGTGCTCTTTCTTTCTTCCTCGTCCCCTTCATTGCACCAAGTTCCCCTGCTCTCTGTCTTTGTTATTCTTCACTGATTCAGTTCTTATGTGGCATGCACAAAAGTTACTCGTTGAAAGAGGTTACTCGCCCTGCACGAGACGTCCATCACTCACGCGTCCTGCTGCACGTGCATCAAGCAGGTGGTGCGGCTGTGGGCGTTGGAGGCAGAGGGGCGAGTGCAACAGACCGTGCAGCGCATACACCGCCACCTGTGCTGCTACTCGCCCGCCTACCTGCACTACTGCGCGCAGCACCAGTACTGCCCCTCCTCGCCCCGCCTGCGCATGCCGGCCCTCCTGCCTCACCACCGCAACATGCAGTGGTGGCGCACACCCTCCGGTGGGACTGCTGCCTCTTGTTCGCTGGTGCCCTTGTACCTTTGCACCAATTGCACTCCCCATCTGCAATTCTCGGTTCATTCCTCGCTTCGTCTCTCTCATTGCATCCACACCCCAACCCCCGCCTTCCCTTCTCACCTCCTTCCCCCCCACACCACTCTCCGCAACATCAGCGGACGTCAGCGACACATCAGCGGGTGTCAGCAGCAGCGCCACATCAGCGGACGTGGTGACGCCGCCCAAGTTCATCGCACTGCAGCCCGCCGTGGCACTCACGCTGCTGGCGCGGGGCGGCGGTGCGCTCGCAGCGTCGCTGGGCCACCTGCCGTTTGAGGTGAACGCGGAGGAGAGGGCCGCCATCCTCTGCCCCTCCAGCCTCGTCGTGCACGGCCGCTCTGGTCAGTCGCTTCGCTTCGCTTGCTGCTGCAACTGTCGGCTGAGTGAGCCACAGCCAGTCTGTGCCTGCATGGCAGCTGGTGTTGTTGTCATGTCAGCCCATCTCCTTGGCAATCGCTGTCCGTTTCTCCCCAGCGTGCCACGCCACCCCCTCCGTCATACCAACACTAACATTTGCAAAGGCTAGAAGAGCTGCTGCACAAAAGTGAAGATTAAGGGCTGCTTGCCTTGCCTTGCCCCAACTCAAACACTCTTCCCCGCTCCCTCCCCCGTGTCACCCCCTTCCACTCCCCCCAGGCACGGGCAAGACAACGGTGATCATCCACAGGGCTCTGCGTCTGCACCGCCTCTCCTCCACCCCTCCTCTTGCCTCTCCACCTGCCCACGGTGCCACTGGCATGTGGGGTACTGTCTCGGAGGATGGCTGGAGCATGGGGGAGGGTGGTGCGGGCGATGGCACGGGGGTGCTGCGGCAGGTGGTGGTGACACGCAGCCTGCAGCTGTGTGCGTCCATTCAAGCCGACATCACTCACGCGTCCGAGTAAGTGTGCCTCACAGCGTCACCGTGCTGCTTCTTTGCGACTGCATGCTGCCGTCTTTTCTGCCTTCTGTGCTTTTGTGAATGGGTATGGATGGAGGGTTGAGTTGAGATGGTGGGAGTTGTCGAACTTGACGCTGCAGCGAGATAGTGCTGAAATTAACCCCGTCTCTCACCCCCCAAGGTGGCCTTTTTTCGCCTGCCCGGATTTCTTTTAGCTGCCCGTGTAAGCTGTTTTCCAGTGTAAAAAAAAAAAACATGTAGAGCTAGCCATCATAGCTACAAAGCTGATGTTTCCTCTTCTGATCCCTTATTTCTTTCGCTGCACCTTCTTTCCACTCTACTCGTATCCGCTTCACACCATGCTGCCATGCCTCTCCCACCCCCCCTTTCTCTGCTGCCACCGTACAGGTCGCTCGCTGCACTCGACTCTGCTCACCTTGCCTCGCAGCCCTCTGCGGGCCTCCACAGCAGCACGGAGCAGCAGCAGGAGGCGCCACAGCAGCAGCAGCCAGCCCCACAGGTCCCGCCTCAGCCTACCGGCGGAGGCAGCGCCAGCAATAGCAGTGCGCAGAGGCAGCACAGGCATCACATGCTGCTAATGCAGGAGGACCTGGAGGCTTCTCTCATGGGCTCCCTGCCCTCATGCATTGCCGCCATTCCCCCCACCGCGTTCCCCCTCGCCCTCACGCTCTCCAAGCTGCTGCGCTTGCTGGACGCCTCTGTCACCCGCCCCTTCCTCCGGGTTACGCGGCGGCAGCGCGCGAGAGAGGTGGCGAGGCGGCGTGTGGTGGTGGCTATCGAGATGAGTGCGCATGGGGTGAGGGAGGCGTGGGAGCAGGAGGAGGGCGGGAGGGCGTGGGGTGGACACGTGGAGAAGGAGAGATGGGAGGCGAGGAATGGTGGGGCACGGGGATGGGGACGAGGAGCAGGTGAGCACAGCAGGGGTGGGCGAAGGGAAGGGCTCTGGGATGCATGGCAGCAGGAAACGGATGAGGAGGTTACATTGGGGAAGGAGGAGGAGGAGGAGCAGGAGGAGGAAGTGGAGGTGGACTATGAGCGGTTCAGGCGGCAGTACTGGCCGCACCTGGACCAGAGGGCGGTGAGGGGCGTGGTGGTGGACGCCGCGTTTGTGTGGCGCGAGATCACGTCGCACATCAAGGGCAGCCTGCAGGCGTTGCAGGCGCTGCAGCAGGGCCAGCAGGGCCAGCAGGGCCAGCGGGGCAGCAGCAGCAAGACAGGGCACGTGGTGGTGGGCGAGGAGGAGTACGTGGCTGGCATGGTGGGCAGCAACGAGCGCACGAGCGCCATGGGCGAGCGGGACAGGCGCGCCGTGTACCGGCTCTTCCAGGCGTACGAGCGGCGCAAGCGGCAGCGCGGCGAGTACGACAGCGCTGACCTTGTGCTGCACCTGCACCAGGAGATCCGCCGCATGCAGCAGCACGGCGAGCCCTGGTGGTCCGTAGACCACGCTCTCCCCGCCCCGCCGTGGGCCATCCCTGGAAGCACCACCACCACCGGGCTCCACCGCACTCCACCTGCCAGCACACCCAGTGCTCCATGGTCGGCGTCGTGTAGCGGCCCGTGTGCTCCCGTCTTCCACTGTGTGTCGGTGGACGAGGTGCAGGACCTCACTCAGGCGCAGCTGGCGCTGCTGCCTCTGCTGTGTGGCAATGTGGCCTCGGGGTTTGTGCTGGCGGGGGACACGGCGCAGAGCATCGCACATGGCGTGGACTTCCGCTTTGAGGACCTTGCTCGCGTGGTGTACAGCGAGTTTCTGCATAAAGGGGATGAACTCGGCAGGATCGGTGGAGGGAGGAGCGGCCACGGAGGCAGCAAGGCTGGCCATGAAAGGAGAACAGGGAGAGAAAATGCGGAGGCTTGCAGTAGCAGCAGCAGCAGCAGCAGCAACAGTAAAGTGGGAGGGGAGGCGGGCATGAAGGCGCTGCCGACGTTTCAACTGGTGCGCAACTACCGCACGCACCGCGGCATCATCCGCGTAGCCACCACCGTGGTGCGCCTGCTCACGGCCTTCTTCCCCGCCGCCATCGACCGCCTGCACGCCGAGACCAGCGTCGTGGACGGGGCTGTGCCCGTCATGGCGTCCGTGCTGCCTGAATGGAAGATGCACCTTGCCCGGGGCATGCCGCTCAGCGCCACACAGGTGGGCTGAGCTGCTGAGCCCTCCTCTTTGTGCCAGTCTGAACATTGCTACGGCGAACTCTCTTCTGCAATGCACTTGGTGCTCGAGCCAGCAACAATGGTCGCGACAGGAGTCGCTCCTTGTCTCCGTTCTAACTCCTGTCCCATGCGTGTGTGTCCCTGTGCGGCCGGCCGGTCACCAGGCCATCATCGTGCGCAGCAGTGAGGAGAAGCGGCGCCTCTTGGCGCTGTTTGCAGCCAAGCCGGTGGTGCTGACGGTGGAGGAGTGCAAGGGACTCGAGTTCCAGGTGCGCGCCTGCCTGCCTGCCTGCCATGCTCGCGCTTTGATTCACCTGCAATGCAGCATGCTCAAGTGTAGGGTGCTATTGGTGAATGGGTGGTGGCGGACAGGCTGTGCTAACAGAGATGTAGAGATGTCGAGTGATGTAGAGCTATCTGCTTCTTTCTGGATTGTGTCCCATCACCGTGCATGTGTGTCATGTCAACTTGTGTCTCCACCGTTGCACCCACAGCTGCTTCGCCTCCACCACTACACACCATTGTGTCCAGTGTCCACTCAACCTCTCCTCTCCTCTCCTCTCTTCCCCCCCTCCTCGTCCAATGCACAGGATGTGATTCTCTTCAACTTCTTCGCCTCGCCGCAGTCCACCACCCCATGGGCCCTCCTCTACACCTACATGCACGATGCCGGCCTGCCACTCGCTGCGTTCTCCCACTGCACCTGTGCTGCCACCAGCAGCCGCAGCATCAATCAAGGCTGTTCCTGCGGGAAGGGTCAGCAGCAGCTGCTTCAATTCAATGAGCTCAAGTGAGCCTTCGCTTGCTGCTGTCGCTGCCAATCCTACACGCAGATTCCGCTGTGCTAACGGTCACTGTGCTCTCTGTGCGTGTGTGCGCGCGCTTGCCCGTTGTGGTGCATGCAGGCACTGCGCGCTGTGTGTGGAGCTGAAGCAGCTGTACGTGGCGGTCACACGCGCCAAGCAGAGGCTCTGGGTGCTGGACGAGGAGGCCACTCCAGGCGACCGCGACGGCCATGGGGATAGTGACGGCTGCAGCAGGGCGTGGGGGGTGCGCAGCAGTGCGCCCATGAGGGACCTGTGGCACGCCCTGGGTGTGGTGGCGGTGCGGGCAGGCAGCGAGGTGATGCCCGAGTCGGTGAAGCGCGAGCCGGATGAGGACGACTGGCACTCCCTTGCCTTCACCGTGAGCCTGCTTTTCTGCCCTCTCAATCTTTTCTGGGCTCTCTCTTGTTTCGCGCGATTTGGCCTGGCTTACCTATTGTGCTGCATCCTTCCATCACCAACTCACCCACACTCGTTGTCGTTGTGTCTCAACCTTCCGTCTCCCTTCCCCGCCGTGCAGTTCTTCCAGATGGGTGACTACGAGGCAGCGCAGGCCAGCTATGAGCGAGCGGGCGACACGGACAGTGCGCGCTTCGCCCATGCCATGCTACTCTACAATACGGCCCTGACCCGCATGCACCCACACCCACTCGCTGCCATGCCCTCTCTGCCACCGTCCTCACAAGAACATACACCTGAGCCGCCGCTGCTGCCAGCTGTGCCGCCCGACCTGTTGGAGCGCAGCCCCCCTGAGTTGCTGCTGGAGGCGGCGCGCACGTTTGAGGAGATTGGGAGGAACGCTGAGGCAGGCCGTGCATATGTGAAGGCGAGGAACTACGTGGAGGCAGGTACGATACGAGATGGTGGGGTGGCAGGCAGGGCTCCTTGTTGGATGGACATGTGAAGTAGTGCTTTGGGAAGCGCTGTGCGAGTGGGCTCTTTGCGAGTGGGGGAGTATTGCACATGTTTACTCATGCTCTTGCTCTGGCTTCATTTGTTGCACCTCTCCCCCCCGTCTTCTGTGCCCGCCCTGTCTGCCAGTGCGAGTCTATCTGCATGCATGCCGGCCCCCGAAGCACATGGACGCTGCCCGCTGCTACCAGAAGCTGGGTCAGTTCGCGGAAGCAGCTGATTGCTACAGTGCAGGCGGCGACATGCACAGTGCTCTCCTCGTGTGCCTGCGAGCTCGCATCTTCCCAAAGGGCCTATCTCTTCTCGACACTTGGCAGCCGCCTGCATCCACGTCAGCAGCAGCAGTGCACTCGGCGCAGCAGGTGAAGCAGCTGAGAGGATGGTACGTGGTGGAGTGTGCGCGGTGGCATGAGAGGCAGAGTGAGTACGACCACATGCTCTCCTTCATCCGCCTTCACCACTGCTTGCCCACCAAGCGTGCCTTCCTGGAGGCAGGGCGGCATCTGAGGCAACTGGCAGCTCTAGAGGACGAGCAGGGCGACAAGAGCCGCGTGCCGGGGCTGCTGCAGACAGCAGGGGCGCTTCTAGAGGCGGCGTGGTACTTGTGGCAGCAGGGCTCGCCCGGGCGCGCACTCGTGTGCTTTGTTCGCCACTTGCACTGCCGCTTGAATGCCGCCGGGCGCGGGGCGTTGCGCGTGGGGGTGCGGAAACGGGCAGGGGACAGGGGGAGGTATGGCGGAGGCGGTGAGATGAGCTGGGAGGAGGTTGAGATGGCTGGGAGGCTGTGGGCGGTGGAGCGGTGGAGCTTTGCTGAGAGGGACGCATGTGGGGCGAGTGACCTGGCATGGGCGAGGGTGGAGATGAGCGTGCTGCTGCTGCTGATGGCCCATGATATTGCCATCGTCACTCACACTGACACTGACACTGACAGTGACGACGCTGCTGCTGCTGCTGTGAGAGGGGATGATGGTGATGCCTGCCAGGCAGCTGTGGGTGCCAGGGTGGGTGGAGAGGGAGCAGCAGTGGGTGGTGAGGCAGCGAGGGTGAGGGATGTGGAGTGGGAGGCGCGCTTGTCTCGCGCATGGATGGCTGTCAGGCAGGGGCAGGCCGTTCCAGCAGAGCTTGTAGGGAAGTGCACGGGCGCGGCTGGTGCAGAGGCAGGGAATGACGGTGGCGGTAGAGGCGGAGAGGGCGGGCGAGACGGGGCGAGTGGGGGAATTGCAGTGTGGTGGGCGGCAGTGAATGTTGGGGAGGAGGAGAGGGAAGAGGCGGAGGAGATGTGGCAGGGGAGGGACGTGATGAGGAAGGGGCGAGAGCAGATGGAGAGGGAGAAACGAGGCGTGACAGGAGGGTTGGGTGTGGAGGAGGTGGGGAGTGAGTGGAAGAGGGCAGAGCAGGTGCGGGCAGAGGTGCTGCTGGCATCTGCGGGTGTGCAGGTGAGTGTGCGCATGCTGCAGTGCGCCCAGGACCACCTCTCTTCATGGCTGGCGCACTTCCACTCCGCCCTGTCCTCCTCCTCCTCCTCCTCCTCCTCCTCCTCCTCCTCCTCCTCCTCCTCCTCCTCCTCCTCCTCCTCCTCCTCCTCGCACCACGTGTGCTCTCCTCAACCTACAACACCATCCACTGCTGCTACCCCGGCATCTCCTTCAGCGTCTCCCTCAGCTGCCAGTGCCGCCAGTGCTGCAAGGGTAGTTGCAGCGCCAGCAGAGGAGGCAGCGGCGCGGCAGGTGGGTCAGGAGACGTGCACGCGCCCTCCTCCGCCGCCCATCGGCCCTCTCCAACAAAAGTTAGCGCTCTGGTTCTACCGCTGGCTGTCCCGCCTCTCCTCCCTGCTGTCTGCTCTGCGCCACCTCCACGCCCTGCCCGCCGCTGGCCCACACCTGCCCCGCCTGCACGCCGCCCTCTCCCTGCTCTCCTGCTCCTTCCACCGCCACGCGCTCACCTCGTGCTGCCAGGTGGACGACGTGTCGCTACCGTGGGTGCCAAGGGGCGATGTGCAGAGAGTGGCGAGCAGTGGAGCGAGTGGGGAGATGCAGGGGAGGACGGCTTTGGAGATGGTGGAGAGTGCGTGGGAGAGGGAGTACGTGAGCAGGTGGAGGGAGGCACAGCATGTGGCGCGCACCGGAGGTGTCGATTGCTCTTCTCGCCTGCTCTCTTGTCTGCAACAGGTGTGCTTATGTGACCCTTGCTCTTTTTTGGTGCATGCCAGCTGGATGTGGCCTGTGTGTTGGACAGCCACTCTTTGCAACCCTTTTGCCACCACGTGTCCTATTGACCCAGAAGCCTGTTCATCCCACAGCACACTGTCTAACATGCATGACAAGCCAACTCAGCAATGCCATGTGCTCTTCTGTACCCTATGCAGGTTCTACGTGCTTCCACTCTCAACGCCTCAGCCCATGTCTCTGCAGCGCCCAGAACCCCAGTCGCAGCACACCCACCACCGTCCCCACACGCTGCTCTCCTCAAATTCCTCCCGCTCATCGAGCATTCCCTCTCACTCCTCCCTGTCACCATGCTCTCCTGCTCCCGCTCCGCGATCCTCCCCTCCCACGCTGCCACCCCTCTTCACCACCTCTTCTCCTCCCTCCTCCTCCACCCCGTGCCTACCAACCGTGCCTCTCCCCCCTCCCACGCTGACCACAAGCCTGCCCGGCCATGCTGGCCGCACCACATGTGCCACGCGCTGCTGCACCCCACGCTTGGCGCACTGCTGCTCCACGACCTGCCGGCACAGGGACAGGCAGCCAGGGCGTATGACAGCAGCAAGGCAGGTGGAAGCAGACAGGGGTATGGCTTGGGTGCTGGGGAGATGAGCAGAGGGGAGGGGAGGGGCAGTGACGCACGTGCGGGCGAGGTGAATCATGGGCCGTTTGCATTGGGGAGAGCCGAGCAAGCAGCAGCACATGGGCCTGTGCCTGCTGGCCAGTCATGCTGGCAGGGAGAAGTGAATGTGACAGCGGAGGACGCATGGGGAATCACGCTGCTGTTCCTCACATCCATGCTCAATCCGCACCCCTACAGCTGCCGCTCAAGGGACAAAGACTGGGGGCTGGTGGAGGTGGAGGCTCGCATGCGCGTGGCGTGTGCGCGGGGCAACCCTCTCATGGCTCCCTCCATTGTCACGCTCACTCACGCCCTCTCTGCCCGTGCCTTGCTGCATCAGGCGTCGCCCCTCCCCAACGTGCATGGGGACTCTGGCAGGCTGCTCCACTTCCCCTGGAAGGCCTCCCTGCTGCCTCTTGCTCCGACACTTCCTCCTGTTCCCGCCATCCCGCTCCTCCCCCACCCTCCGGCTGCCATCTTCAACGCCTCACCCCCACTTGCAAGCATGCTGTTTGACTTGCTGCGTCACCTGCTGCCCACCTTGCGGGCCATGCGGGCAAGGGGAGAGGGGGTGACCGGTGGACCGGGCCGGATGGGGGGAAGCGAATGTGGGGAGGCGATGTATGCATGGGAGCTGATGCGTGCTTTTGAGGAATTCGGCATGGGCATGGTCGAGATAGCTCCATCTCAGTTTCAAGCTTTTTGGAAGAGGTTTCCAAATACAATTGGCTGGTCAGGCAAAGTGTGATTGGCTGTCGGATAGAGCCGGGGAGATGAGACCCGAAATCGCTGATACTGACATATACCAGTATCCGACATTCTGGACTTCTACAATGAGTTTCCCACGCAAGGTTAAGGGTACCGTATCAGATTTCTGTCTGTTACAGACCAGGGCCTATTTTATCAGGGTAAATCACCCTGATGCCCTGATGAACAGGGTGGTTCTTAGGTAGTAACACTGATGCGGTAGGGTAAATTTTTTAGGACCTTCATTTACCCTGATGTGCCAGGGTTTACGATTGTGCTACACTGTCGCCTCAGGGTTGCCGATCCTCTTATCGAGTTTTACCCTGAAGCGAGTTCCAGCCAACCCCCGACCCCCCCCCCAACCTTCCCCTAGCCCCCCTACCCCGTAACCTGGGAATCCCCTTTGCCAACTGTCGTAACTGTAAATTTCGGCACGACATTACGTGTGCTGGCACGAAGTGGGCCACCATTGGCCTTGAAAAATTGTTACACTGATGACCCAGGGTAGAATTTTCCGGATCTGCAAAAACCCTGACAGATCATGATTTTCACTGAGGGATACTCTGATAATCAGGATTTTGATGATGTGCTACACTGATCGTAGTAAGGGTTGGCCAAAACCAAAAATTAGCCCTGTTACAGACTAATGTCCCTGATTTACGTACTTGTGTGCCGGGTCTGATGCATCACACTCTGTTCTGGAGAAAAAAATAGAAGAAACGAGGAGTCGTAGTGCAACATTGTTGTAACAATATTTTTTTTTCCAAACCAACGGTCCCGTCGGCAGTTCGCGAGAAAGTCAACAGGGTATCCCTACTCTAAACCCGTCACCGAATAAAACACGATGCGAACTACTTCCACGCGAGATTCCCTGTAATCCTTCGCCCGAACGGCCGTTTGGACCGTTGGTTCGGAAAAAGGTTGCACGGCCTTAGTACCGTAAGTTGATGACGATGCGCATATTGCATATCCACCCAGCAGATGACAGTGGGTGTTGATGGTCATGACTCATGGCTCATGGGCAGATCACCCCTCCCTGCAAGGTGCGACAAACGACTCTGCCCAGCCTACCTGCATGTGTACCTACTTGCATGTGTACCTACTTGCATGTGTACCTACTTGCATGTGTACCTACTTGCATGTGTACCTACTTGCATGTGTACCTACTTGCATGTGTACCTACTTGCATGTGTACCTACTTGCATGTGTACCTACTTGCATGTGTACCTACTTGCATGTGTACCTACTTGCATGTGTACCTACTTGCATGTGTACCTACTTGCATGTGTACCTACTTGCATGTGTACCTACTTGCATGTGTACCTACTTGCATGTGTACCTACTTGCATGTGTACCTACTTGCATGTGTACCTACTTGCATGTGTACCTACTTGCATGTGTACCTACTTGCATGTGTACCTACTTGCATGTGTACCTACTTGCATGTGTACCTACTTGCACGCAACCAGAGCTTTTATTAGTAAACAGGTGGGCTGCGGAGGTCTGATGTCCATCAACTTGGATGTTATTAAGACGGCGAAACAAACCAGGCAACCAGAGCTTCAGGCCTGCCCAGAGAAAGTATGGGTGAGCGAGAGCGTGAGTGAGTGAGTGTGTGAGTGAGTGAAGGGGGTAAGTGCGTGCACAAAAAGTGGAGTGATGAAAAGGGCAGGGCAGGGGAAGGAGATAGGAGGCAGTGCAGGGGTGGGGAATGACAGGTCAAGGGGGTGAGGTGACGGCGGAGAGAGATGGACAATTGTTATCCTACATGCACATTGAAATTGCATCATGAGCAGTTACAGTGACCAAAGATTCTAGCAGCAGCAGTCCTCCACGTCCCCTCCAGCTGCAAATCACTCACGCCACCCTTCGGCTTTGCAAACTTGGCAAGCACCTTCAGGACTGTCACCAATCACATTGGATGGCTTAAGCGTGCATTCTTAACCAAGCCACCAATCACGATGACTCACTGACTGCCTTAATTTGCTCCTACCACACTTGCCGATGCGACTCGGTGGAAGACACTGATATTCCTGGTCTTGATGTGCATCACACAGCTTTACAGAGAAAAGAAGACCTCTAACCACCCTCCTACACGTCGCCTTCACCTCCCTCCTGCCGCTCACCTTGCTAGAGTTGTTGCCACTCGCATTGCCACTCACAATACCCCTCTTAAACCACACACAATACCACACACAGTACCACGCAATAGTAATCGCCTTGCCACTCACATTGTCCTCACCTTGCCACTCTTGGCCCCCCTCTTCTGGCCGCTAGTCCTGCCGGGGCATGTGAGCTTGTGGGAGGGCCAGTGCGCCTTCTGGCACTCTTTGCTGCAATACGCCACCTTGCCACACCCAGAGCAATTCTTCAACTTCACACCACCACCCTCCACCCCCCCACACCCTGCAGCACCGCAAATATGCCGCCTACAAGCAGCAGCACCCGAGCCTTCTGTAACTGAAACAGACGCGGTTGCATTCTTTCCTGCAGTTCCAGGGGTTGGAGCAGCAGAGGCGGAAGACGCAGCAGGGGAGGCAGGGCGATAGCAGGGCTCCCCCAGCAGCATCTCTCGCAGACACGCCACCAGATTGATCCCCCCCGGCCAGGGCATCAGATAAGCCGGCACCTCCTTCTTCTTGCCCTTCCGCTTGCTAAAACCACCAAGCCCACTCCCGTGCTTCATGTCATCACAGAATCTGGGCAGCAGAGAGCACTGGTAAACCTCTGAAGCCTCGTCCACCCGTGCTCTCACTTCCTCCTCCCTTGCCTGCCTGCCACCACAGCCCGCCCCGTCACCCCCCATCCCAGAGGCAGGCCGCATTGCTACCATGAACCAGGATTGCACCTCCTCCCACACGACCCCACTATCTCCTTCAACATCACCACCCTTTCCACCCCCTCTGCCTTCCCCACAATCCCCACTTCTCGCCCTACTGCGGCCCGCCTTCTCTTTACCCCCAGAGGTTCCCTCTCCAGCCCTGAGATTCTGCCTGCCTTCCGTGCCGCTCTGCTGCAGGAGAGGCGTGGCGCAGAGCAGCGCCAGGCTGAGCAGAAAGGCAACCGGCACCTGCTCCACCCGTTCCCGTAACGCACGCACGCTGCTGCTGCTGCTGCTGCTGCTGCTCCGCTTGCCAGAACGGCTGTCGTGAGAAGCGTTAAGGGAAGAGTTCAGCCCCAGGCGGACGAGAAGGCTCTGAAACACCTCGGAGTGCGGCTGGAAGACGGAGAGGAAGCGGTCGAGGAGGACGGTGGTGGGGCGATAGGCGAAGTTGGCAATGAGAGCGACCAAGGGGACGTGCGAGATGAACAGGGTGATGCACCTGCTGCAGTGCGTGCATGCTGGTGCCTCCAGGAACAAACCGGCAAACTCCACTATCAAGTCCGAATCTGCCCTGCACCGGACTATCGGCCAGGACTCTCCGCTCTGAAGCGGCAGCACGTGCTTAGTGAGAGGTGTGAGAGGTCCCCGGACGCTTCCCTGCTGCGCTGCCCCATTCCCGCTGTTCCTGCGACTCTGCCTGCCATCAGCACTGCCCAGCCCGAAACATCTCGCACTGGAGTCCTCAGGAAACTTCATAGCAGCTTCGTCCCCCTCAGGCCACTCCCCCCACTCCGGGATGCAGGTGCTCCCGTCCAATGGCGGGAGAACAGCGCCGAACCGGACCAGCAGGCTCGGAAGATCCCGAAGCGGGTGGCGCATGGGCAGGACCTTTCCCTGTGGGTTGTCCTTGCAGCACATCTTGGCGGAGATGAAATCTGAGCCGTAGATTCGAAGCCACTGCAAGATGCAAGCAACACGATACGTGAGCAGCCCAATGGTGGGGTCTGTGTTGACCGGCATAAGGCCACGACTGAGCATCCCACTGCTGCTCATGCTGCTAGTCCCACTCAAACCACCAGCAGAGGCGCTGCTATGATTAGCAGGCCCAGCTCTGGCAGAGAGAGCAGCAGCACTGGGAGGTGGGCGCCCTCCTCCTGCTGCACCTGATGCTGCTGCTTCCACTCCTCCTCCTGTTGCCCCTCCCTCGTTCTCCTCTTTCCCTGACTTCCCACTTGTCAGTTTCCGCCTCCTCAGCCTCTCCCGCGCCTCCTCAATGGCTGCATCCTGCACATTGCTGCTGCTCGCGCTGTGAGACGCTGCAAAGAGCATGGCTGCCAGCTTGCGGTGCTCTGGCATGGAGAACACAGAGGCCACTGCCAGGGCGAAGTCAGTGGCACCCACGCCACTCACATACATGCCCCTGGGAATATCCCTGCCTTCCACAGCATTGCTCACACTGCTGCTGCTGCTGCTGCTGCTGCTGCTGCTGCTTCTGCTGCTGCTGCTGCCCCCCTCACTGCAGTGGCTGCATCGGAACTCCCTCCCTTCCCCCCCTCCATGCTCCAGGATCCAAGCCATGCCATCCACATACCTCTCCCACACACGCCCCTTCAAATTCTCCCTCCAATTCTCACCCTTCCTATCACCACCACCCACCCCTTCCGTCCCACCCCCCCCTTCCTTTCCCTTCAGGTCAAAAGGCAGAGCCATGCCCATGGCCCCCGCGCCATCACCCCCGAGCATGTGGCCCAGGCGTGCCACATCTGCCAGCTCAACTCCATACTCCTCCATGACTGGCAACCAGTCCTCCGGCCCCTTGCAATCGCCCATCTGCACTATCCGCATCACCGCGCCCATTGCCTGCTCCATCTTCCCGCTTTGCCCCGTCTGTCCCATCAGCCCCGCACTGTTCCCAGCTCCCCCCCTCCCCTTCCCCTCCGCCTTCCCAGCAGTCTTTCCTCCAGATTCCCCAGCTCCCCCACGCCCCTTCCCCCTCGCTGCATGCGCTTTCTCCAGCCCACCTGACAGCACATGCTGCACGAAGAACCCAAACCCTTCCTTCAAATCAGCCCTCTCCTTCACCCCCAGCACCTGCACCAGCACGGAGGCAGCACAGTCCTCCTCCACCTGTCGGCCCGCCCCCAGCTGCCCTGCTAGCGCTGGGTATACGGCATCATATATATCCACGTGCACTTTCCAAATGGTGTCCATTCGCGGCCACCTCGCCACGAGCACAAGGAAGGCAGCGAAGCTCACAGCACGGCGGTAGGCACCCCAGCAGCTGCTGCAGCGGCAGCAGCACGACCACGCTGCAGAGGCAGCAGAAAGGGCAGGAAGAGCAGCAGCAGGGGTTGATTCAGAAGCAGCAGAAGCAGCAGAGCCTTTTCTCTTATTCCGAGCAGAGCCTTCATTGCCCAGAATGGCAGGCAGGCGGGATCGGATCCTCCCCAGGTCCATGAGCACGCCCACACGCGGCTCAGCCAGCCACTCAAGCAGCATGCCTTCCACACAGACGAAGGGCGCGAGAGCATACTTGCAGGAGAACTGCGCATGGGGCGAGGCCAGCGATGCGCGCTCGCCTTGCTCGCCAAACGCCTGCACGCCCGCGGAGAACGCCAGCACGCCCGCGTCCACTGCATCGGGGCGTGGTACGAAGGGCGTGGCGCCCGGCAGCTGCTTCTGCAGGAGCGCCCGGGCGAAAGTGAGGCTCTGCATGGTCACAGCGCGCTCTGCTCCCAGGGTGAGAGCGCGTTGGAAGCAGCACTCGCACTCCTTCGCATCCCACGCGCCCCTCACGTCCAGGTAGTGAACCATGTCCTCCCGACTCACCAGCTGAAGCTTCCCAGGTACGTCCTTACCCCTCGCTCTCCCTGATCCCCGGCCTTCCCCTCCAGACGCCTTGTGGGCCTTGGTAACCACCACGTCTGGGAAACCATAGCGCCTCACCACGTCCTGGTGAGCACGCCAAATCACCTCCTTGAGTTCTGAAAGGCCCGCGCCACAAGTCCCCGCAGAACTCGGCGCCTTTGCTGGCTTTGAGCCAGCGCCGCCCCGTAACGTGTGTGTGTTCAGCGCCCCCCAACGCTCGTGCACGTTGTGCGCCTGCTCCTCCTCGTCCTCGTCCTCGTCCTCGTCGCTGCTAGTGCCGATGGCGTCCCACTTGCTGTAGTCGATCCCACGTGGCCTCGCCACTGCTGGAGCAGATGCCGCAGCAGGTGTGGCAGCAGGTGTGGCGGCAGGTGTGGCGGCAGGTGTGGCAGCAGGTGTGGCAGCAGGTGTGGCAGCAGGTGTGGGTATGGCAACAGGTGTGGTGGTGGGTGAGGCAGCTGGTGCAGCAGCGAGATCAGCAAGAGGAGGACGTGGAGTGGTACTAGCCACAGCGGCGGGAGGAAGAGGAGCAGCGGCGGGAACAGCAGGAATCACGTTCGCACCAGGCGCAGCAGCAGGAGCACTCACAGCACCTCCGTCCTTGCTCTTCCCCTCTCCACCCCCATGCACAGTGCTGTCCTTGATCTTCACAGGAAGCACTCGGATGCTCGAACCGGACTTCAGCTTCGCTTGCGCCACAGTGGAGTCAGGTGAGAGGTACACCACCTGCCCTAGCACCAGAAACCGGACCCGCTGCTGCGTCCCACGCGCCGAATCACTCTCGCCAGCGGCGTCCACGCCACTGGCTGCTCCCTGCTGCACGTGACGTGCATCGCACGGCAGCAAGCAGCAGTCGGGCAGATGCGACTGGAAGAGTCGGTTGAAGACCGACCGGAGAGGCTCCTCAGGAGAGACTGCGACGTGGACGTCCACGTGGGACGATGCCGTTGGTTTTTTGCCACCTTGACTGTTATTGGAACGTGAGTCGCTGCTATTATGGTTGTCTGATAATCCGCGAGGGAGCAAGCCTGTGGGTATTCGAAACCGAACCTCAAAAGCCATGCCCAAACGTTAGATACTGGTGTAGCTACCTTACTGGTTACTACTTGAAAATCGAACCTTGCTAAACTCACCGCTAACAGTGTCCATGTGTGTTTTCGCTGCTACTGAAGGATGTGACCTGGTGGTCCCGAAAAAAGGAATAGGAGACTGCAAGCGGATTCTGGGAGGATGTTGGAACAGCTCTGTTCAAATTTCAGGGTCGGTGTTTCCGCGTCGGACGTAGGCTTGTCTGGGTGCGCTGCAAGCTGGGCTGGTTCACGTTCAGTTCGTTTGGAATTGAGACGAACACGACGGAGTTCGGATCGCTGATTTCGCAGCGGTGCAACGCAAGCCTTCAACGGGATAAATTGTTACCCAGTGTTAGCAAATCCCCATGACACCAGTTCAATGTATCCTCGACAATTTGTATTCGGTTATCGAACGCGACCTCGGAGTTCCTAGAATTTGAAGCTGAATCTCCCCAGCGCTGGCACATCCGTGCGTCACACCCGCTTAGGACTGCTTGGTTTATCTTCCAGCGCGTTTTCACAGCGACAGCTGATCATATCGGCGCCATTTTTACCGAATTTAATCGATGTACATATGCTGAAAATTCCACAGAAGGCTTATCTGTCCTGTATATGCTGGATTTGTTCGACAGTACATACGCGCAAGTGGATTTCGCTTGTCAGAATTCACCACACCTGACATAGGGATATTTATTTCAGAGGCCGCTGTAGCCCGTACAGTCCACCCGTCACAAATCGCGACACCCCGTCGTCTCGAACAAATGTCGTTCAATTCCCCACGGCCCTGCGGGCCTGCTTGCGCGTACCTCAGCGGCCCTGCTCGCGCTCGGAACCAGCCCGGTCGGAAGGACGAGCAGAACCTGCTGACGAAATGGGAGGCCCAGATACTCGAACCCGGCAAGTCAACGAGCCGAAAGCAACGGCGACGAGATGCGAGAGCCGGCGCCGGCCAGGAAGCACCCGAGAAGCTTCAGCTGATGAGCCGGACGGATATGGTTCACTACGTGGACGTTCAAGGCGGGTGGGACACGGGTGAGTGCGCGTGGTGCTTCGACCGCGCTGTGGCGTACCGCTCTGAACACGCCCTTGGTAAAACCAGCGCCTCGTCCTTCCCGCTGCACCTGATCCGCGCCCAGTCTCCCGACATCCCCCCCGCTCCCCCAAGCCGACCCTCCCGGGCAATGCTTGAATTCTCCTGGAGCGTGCCCGTGCAGCGGCTGGGGGGGCAGCAGGGGGGGGAAGGCGGGCAGCAGGGGGTGACTGTGGCGCCTCGCGAGCAGCTGGTGTGGAAGTGCGAGCAGGCGCCGCTGCTGTGCGTGCAGGCCATGCTGCTCGAGTGGCTGGCTGAGCCGCGCGTGGGCGTGCTCATGGACCTGCGCACCATCCGCTCCCGCCTGCCTGCCATCCTGGGCTATACACCCGCTGCTGCACACTGCTCTGCTCCTACCGCGCCTGCTACATCTTCTTCTGAAGCTTCTAGAACGGCCGATGGAGGTTCTGCCAGGGATTCCCCTGCTGCCCCTTCTCAGGCTCAGCCTGCTGCTGAAGCATGGTCGTGCTGCTGGCGCTGCAGCAGCTGCTGGGGTGCCTACCGCCGTGCTGTGAGCTTCGCGGCCTTCCTCGTGCTGGTGGCGAGGTCCCCCCGCGTTACAACGCTGTGGAAGACCCACATGAATCGCTCTGAGACATTCGCAGCGCTGGTGACCGCACTGGGAGCAGGCAGGCAGGCCCAACCGGACTGCTTCGCGTCCATTCTGGTGCAGTTGCTGGGAGTAAAAGACAGTGCTGATCTGCAGGAAGGGTTTGGGTTCTTCCTGCAGCATCTGCTGCCAGGGGGCCCGGAGAAGGCCGTTGGGAAGGTGCAGGCGGAGGGGAAGGGGGGGTCGGGGAAGAAAGCTGCGGCTCTGGGCAACGCGGGGCCGGCAGCAACGGCTGCGATGCGGCTGATGGGCGGTGGCAGGGGAGCGGAGGGCATAGGGGGGAGCAGTGCAGTGCGAGGGTCAGGGGATGAGGAGGATGGGGGAGAAGGAGACGGTGGCAGGCAGGGGCCAGTGGGTGGTGGCGGTGAGGGCGGTGGGGATGGGCAGGGCGGGCAGTGGAGGAAGCATCTGAAGGGGCGTGTGTGGGAGAGGTATGTGGATGGCATGGCTTGGATCCTGGAGCATGGAGGGGGAGAAGGGAGGGAGTTCCGGTGCAGCCACTGCAGTGAGGGGGGCAGCAGCAGCAATGGTGGTGGTGGCAGCAGTTGCAGCAGCGGCTGCTGTGGTGGCAGCAGCAGTAGCAGCGGTGCTAGTGATGCTGTTGGCAGCAGTGGCAACATGGGAGGCAGGGATGTTCCCAGGGGCATGTATGTGAGTGGCGTGGGAGCCACTGACTTCGCCCTGGCAGTGGCGTCAGTGCTGTCGCTGCCAGAGCACTATGAGGACCAGTCTTTGGTTCTCGATGGGAACAACGCAAACAAGTCCAAGGTGGAAAACGCCGCGATTTATGAGGCCAAGAACAAGCTGAGAAGGGAGGTGGGTGAGAGGGGGAGAGCGTGTAAAAGTGCCGGTACAAGGGCCACAGCCGGGGCAGCTACCGGAGCAAACTCAGTCTCTAAAAGCAGTGCTTCAGAGGCCCCTGGGCTCGTACCGGTCAACACCAACCCCGCCATGGCGGTCCTAACTTATCGAGTTGCTTGCCTCTTGCAGTGGGTCCGAATCTATGGCTCAGGTTTCATGTCAGAGAAGCGTTGCTTCAAGGATAACCCTCGGGGCAAGGTCCTGCCCATGCGTCACCCGCTTCGGGACCTTCCGAGCCTGTTGCTCAGGTTCGGCGCCATTCCCAAGCCTCTCGAGGGAAGCAGCTTCTCCCTGGAGTGGGATGAGTGGCCGCATGGCGATGAAGCTGCTGTGAAGTTTCCCGACGATCCGAGTGGCCCTTGCTTTGGACTTGGCATTGTGGGGGAGAGTGGGATGGGAGAGGAGAGGGGCAGTCAGAGTGGTTCAACAAAGGAGAGTGAGGTGACTGAAGAGAGTGGGGCAGCGGAGGAGGGTGAGCAGAGTTCATCAGAGCCTGTGCAACGAGCAGTAGGGAAGGGCAAGGCTGGGAAGGGTAGAGGAAAGAGGGGGAAAGGAGGGAAGGGCAGTGGCGGCAAGAAGGCAGAAGGGGGGGACGAAACAATAACAAGTAATGGAAAAGGGCAAGGAAATTCCAGGCAGCCTCGGCTGCCCATCATTCGCTGCCGGGCCGACGTGGACTTTCTTATAGCCATCCTTTCGCCCATGATCATGCCACCAGACTGCTCGCACTGCCTCAAATGCCTCGGCACCTTTGTCTACCACGTGCCCTGCTGCGCTCTCATTGCCAATTTTGCCTATCGCCCCGTTGAGGCTCTTTTCGCCCGCTTTCTCTCCGCCTACCCCACGCACTCCCTCGAATTCGACCAGCTGTTCAAGGCGCTGCTGCTGCGCTCGCCTCTTACTGTCGCAGAGCACGTCAGATTGATCAACGAGTCCAGTCCTGCAGGCGCAGGGAGGGGCATGAGTGCCCTGCGCCATCGGCGCGAGCAGATGACTGAGCTGCCTCGGGATCCAGGCATGCGGGAGCGTGTGATGCTCTTGAAGGCTCGGCAGATGCCGCTCTTCTTTCTGCTGGGCGTGGCTGTATACTATTCCAAGCCCATCATGGGTATGTCTGATGAAGAGGAGGTGGTAACAGATGCCGGGGATGTGGAAATCAGAGAAGGTAATAGGAGGATCGAGAGGAAGCGGGGGAACGGAGGCAGGGTAGGGGTTGTGGATGGTGGGGAGGAGGGCGAGGAGGAAGAGGAGGACGACGGGGAGGTGTGGCACGAGGTGGAATCGTGGGGCTTTGCCATGCTTTCCGCCTGGAGAGCAACGACCAAGGTCATGGGGCCGGGACTGGACGTGACGTGCGGCAGGAGCAGCCCTCGCGATGTGCTGCCCAGGAAGGCAGGAGCGCCCATGTCAAGGGAGTGGGGCGTTGACATGTGGGCGCAGGCTGCCACACCCAGGTTCCGTGACGACTTGCCCGCGGGACAGGGTGGGTCTGGGAATGATGGTGGGGACAGCGGCACGAGGAGTGGCAGCAGTGGGAGCGGTGGTGGGAAGAGTGAGGGAGAGGAGGAAAAGGGGGAGGAGCCAGCTTATCTGAAGCCCTGGCCCGGGGGGATCAATCTGGTGGCGTGTCTGCGAGAGATGCTGCTGGGGGAGGTGTGCTACCGGCCTGCCCCCCCTTCTGCGTCTTCCTCCCATCCTGCAGCAACAAACGTGTCTGCCTCTTCCGGTCCTGCTGTCTCTTCCGCCCCTGGTGCTCCAAGCAATGCGGCTGCAGCCGTTTCAGTTGCAGATGGACCTGTTGCTGCTGCTTCTGGAGGGCGTGTGTGTGGTGCTGCAGGGTGTGGGAGGGTGGAGGGTGGTGGTATGAAGCTGAGGAACTGCTCTGGGTGTGGCAAGGTGGCGTATTGCAGCAGAGAGTGCCAAAAGGCGCACTGGCCCTCCCACAAGCTCACATGCCCCGGCAGGACCAGCAGCAATCAAAGTGGGACCAACAGTGGCAAGGTGAGGGCAGTGTGAGTGTTAAGGTGAGTTGCAAGGCGGTTGGCAGTGTGAGTGATAGCGTGAGTAGCTGTGTTAGTGGCAGTAACTCTAGCAAGGTGAGCGGTAGGAGGGAGGTGAAGGTGATGGACAGGAGGGTGGTGAGAGGCCTGTATTTTTCTGTAAAGCTGTGAAGAACATGCGCCTGTCCTGTGTTTCCTGCTGGCCGTGTGTTTCCTGCTAGGGAATCGGCTGGTATGTATGTGTCTCGGCAATGACGTGCATGGCAGCTGATACGGTAGAATCAGCCCCTCCCTCTTCTAGATGCGCAAATTTCACTGTGCATGTTGGATTGCGATTGTGCATCTCTCTCCCCCGTCTCCTCATTCCCATTTCTTGTCCTGCACTGCCTCCTTTCTCCTTCCCCTGCCCTGCCTTTTTCACCGCTCCACCTTTTGTGCATGTGCGTGCCCCCTCACTCACTCACTCGCCCATACTTTCTCTGGGCAGGCCTAAACTTGAAGCTCTTGTTGCGTGCAAGTAGGTACACATGCCGGGCCTTCAGTTGTTTGTTGCCCCGTGCAAGGAGTGGTGGTGTTCGTTTTCAGGGTCTTGTGAGAATAACATTAGGGAGTGTTTGAAGAGTACGTCTGAAAGCGGTTGAAAAAAGGTCTGGATATGATCCTGAGCGGTCTAATTGTAATCTAACATGGTCGGGTAGGGTTTTAGTACATTATTGGACCCGCCCTTATTGTAATTGTGATTATTTTAAATATTTGAAAGAGGTTTACAACCATTTCACTCCAAAAAATATGACTTTGGTTGCGGCTAATCACACTGCCACAGCCATGTAACACTTCTGGCTTGGACGAAAGTACTTGCCACGATAACACCTCTGGCGAAGTTTTGCGGGGTGTCCGTCGTGCGTTGGGGCGGAAAAGCCAAGCCGTTCGCGAAATGCGTTCGTGCCACGAACACTTCGTTATGATGAGTTTACCCGTCTCCTGCACTCCACTCCACCAATTCATTCCCATCATCCCCTCCCAGCCCTTTTCTTCCCGTCCGCATTTGCTCTTCTTCCTATCGAGTGCTCTTTACCAACGCTGCGACCGAAACCTCCTTCCAGTCTGTGCCTTTTCCGCTCGTCATGTCGGACTCGGAATGGCGACTGCGAGTACCGCACCTCAGCCTGTGCCGAGAAAGCCGTGCCACGCACGCCGGGAAGTAGCGACACGGCGAGCCGAGCTCGTCCAACTGGAGAGTCTTCCGAAACACGTCTGGCCGTTAGCAGTCCGAAATATGCCGCACCGCGCCCAATGCAGGTCTCGTGAATGCGGACGCTGTGTAGTTAAATACCATGGCCCGCGCGATACTCTGTCACAGCACAACACCCAGACGCACGCACATTCTGAGCACTCGTCGACTCGCGCCGTTCGACCATGGCGAAGCCTTTCGCTCACTTCCCTGCTCTTCGCCTCGCGCTGGCCCTGCTCCTCGTATCCGGCGCGCTTCTACCAGCCGAATCGCAGTTGGTCGGAAAATCCGGAAGTCCGAGGAAACGCGTGGCGCTCACGGTCCCCGCCCACGCGCAACGCAGACAGCAGCTGCAGCAGCAGCAGCAGCAGCCCGCCACCACCGTCGTTCGCGGCGGCCCAGGCGGCGCCTCCATCATTTCAGCCGTCGGATTTCCCCTCGTCCGCTCCTCCTCCGCCTCTGACGGCGTCACCACGAGCGCCATCACGCCGGCCGGCAGCGCGCCGATTAAGTACCACGGCGGCCCGGTGGTGGTGGGCGCACCGACGGTGAACGTGTACCACATCTACTACGGCAGCTGGGGGGCGGCGTCGGGCAAGGACGTGATCGACTCGTTCGTGGCGGCGCTGAGCAGCGACTCGGGCAGCCAGGGCAGCGGCGCGGACGCGAGTGTGAAGGCGTGGTGGGCCATCAGCGCCGCGTACTTCCAGAAAGACGCTAACGGCGGCAAGAAGAACGTGAGCTCCAAGGTGAGAAACAGTTGGCTGCGCTTGGCAAAGTGGAATTTTGAAGTGAAAAGGATGGCTCTAGGCCTGACGGGGAGCAAGCCGCTCCGTATGTTGTTGCTCTTGCTACTCCTCGCCCCTTCATCTGCTCCTCGCCCTCATTGATTTCCCCTTGCACGCCCTCTTGCTGCCATGTGCTCCTGACGCAGGTTCGCCTGGCGGGGACTGTGAGTGACAACTATTCACGCGGCAAGAAGCTGACAGACGACGACGTGCTCACCAGTATGTACCGCTCTCCACCACTCATTCTGCTTGCGCCCTGTGCGTGTGCTGCTTAATCTCACTCACCTTACATGTGCTACTCGTTCCATCGTGCCATATATCACCTCTCTCCCTTCACCTACCCACCCACGCCACTACAATCACGCTCGCTGTCTCACCTCTCCTCCGCTCTGTCCTTCCCTGCCCGTGCCCCCACCTCCCGCCTTGCTTCCCCCCCACGCAGTTGTGAAGAGCAAGGTGGGGGCGGGCAAGCCGTTGCCTCTAGACCCACAGGGCATCTACGTGGTTCTCACCAGCGCGGACGTCACTCTCGGGGGCTTCTGCTCAGAGTACTGCGGCTGGCACACACAGGACTCGGAGAACTCACTTAACTCCCCTCTGCGCTTCGCCTTTGTGGGCCACCACGGACAGTGCCCTGACGCGTGCGGGGTAAAGAGCACGTCGCCCAACGGCAAGCCTGCCATCGACGCTATTATCTCCACTCTCGCGCATGAGCTCACCGAAGCTGCCACGGACCCGGACACGACCGCGGGGTGGTTTGACGACGAGGGCGAGGAGAATGCGGACAAGTGCGCGTGGGACTATGGCAGCACCAAGAGTGGGACCTTGCAGAACGGGCAGAGCTACGAGTACAATGTGGTGGGGCTGAACGGCATGAAGTTCCTCGTGCAGCTCAACTGGGACCGCGTCAAGAGCACGTGCGTCCTGCAGAACGCCCTCCCCGCTGATGGTAGCGGTGGCGGGGGCACTCCCTCCCCTCCTCCCCCGCCACCTCCCCCGACTGGAGGCAGTGTGAAGATGAGGTGTGATTGCAACTGTGCTAGCGCCAGCAACCCCATGAGCTGCCAGTGTTCCTGCACCAAGACAGGGTGACTAGAGTGTGGAGGAGGGGATCATCTGGGGTGGACGCTGCACCAGGCTCATCAGGAACTCCTTGATGGCTGCTTGATTTGGATTGTCTCCAGTGGTAGTGGTGGTAGTACACTGCTGCTAATGTATTTATTGCTGAAGTTGCCTTTTTCCCACATCTTTTGCAGTTTACCAGGGCAAATTTTATCAGGGTAAATCACCCTGATACCCTGATAATCAGGGTGGTTTTTGGGGGTCACACTGATGGCCCCGGGTAATTTTTTTAGGAGCTAGTTTTACCCTGATGTGCCAGGGTTTACATTTATGTCACACTGATGCATAAGGGTTCCCGAATCCCATAACGGGTTTTACCCTGAAACGAGTACCCTACCCCCCCCGCCCCCCAGTACCCCCACCCCCCCTTTCCCGTAACCCTGGAATCCCGATTGCCAACTGTCAAAGCCTGATTTTCGGCCTTGACAGCGCATGTGCTGGCACACATTGGGCCACCATTGGCCCGGCTTACAGTTTCTTTGTTGGCTGCGCCACCAACACAACTCGGTCTGTTTGTCTGACATGACAACACGACCGGGTTAGCAGGAAACTTGGCTGAGTGGACCAGAAGGGCAAACAGAAAGCACCTGAGCCTGAAGAAGAGAGTGACCACGACGAACACCCGTGTGGCATGTCTGATGATGATGAGTGAAATTTGTATTGAGTGCAAGCCAGGGCCCAAAATATCAGGGTAAAACACCCTGATTACCCTGGGGGCCGGCCGCTTTTTCAGGATTACCCTGCTGAAATCAGGATTGCGCAATAGTTACCCTTCTCTTAAAAGAGCATGTTTTATTTTACCCTGATAGGTTTTTAGCTTACCCTGACGGAATCAGGGTGTGGTGTACACTACCCTGTTACCGAATCTTTACTAACGCGAATCAGACCAAGGTTCGCGTCTTGACAAAACTTACAACACCCCCACAAACACTCGTTGTCGCTTGTGCCCACGCGCAAGGAAACTTGCTTCGTTGTCGGCAGCACGCCAAGAACCTGATTGGTTGTTTCTGCCGCACGACTGCCTACAATCATTGAACCTCATCACATTTCGCCACGCAGGGGGGGTGGCACTGAGTAGGTGTTTTGTGCATGTGTTGCGTGTGTAGACTTCATGGGCTCGAAATGTGCTACTTGTGAATGTCATTAAAAATAAGTTAACTCACAATATAGATACAAAAACAGGCTTAGCCTAAAACTACCCTGCTCAAATCAGGCTAGTGGTAGATTTACCCTGCTGAAAACAGGGTATGAAAATTTTTACCCTAGGGGTCTGGTTAAGGAGGGGCTAGTACCCTGATTCGTAAGGGTAGGCCTAAACCAATTTTGGGCCCTGGTGCAAGCATAAAAACTATTGAACAGGGTTTGTTTTTAATGAGCACTGATGCGACAGGGTAAATTTTTCAAAAACGGGGAAAACCCTGATCGGAAAGATTTTTCACAAGGGGTCACACTGATAATCAGGTTTTTGAACTTGTGCCACACTGATCATAAGGGTAGGCCAAATCCAAAAATTTGCCCTGCAGTTTCCCTTGTGTTTTCATGTTATTCTCAATTGGTGGTTGTGGGGCATTGGTTACACTATTCACACAAATAGTAAACCCTTGAATTGAACTGCTACGATCAAGAGATGATCGCTGCCAGGATCTTCTCAGGAATGTTCGCACGCAGATAGGTAGACTAGGGCGGCCCTTGATCTCAATAGCAGAGTGAATGTAAGATGCTTGAGATGAATTAAAACATGCAAGTACAGCGATATAAATAAGAGTACAGGGGAATGTGAATCGATCTAGCTAGCCATGTACTCTAAGGGGTACATTCCCTTATTCAAATTCATTCCCAACCGTACGGCGCGTACAGTTACGAAAACTGTTCCCGCTCAATTCCTCCTAACTGCAGTTGCTTGATGCCGTCTGCTCCGACGGTCCAGATCCACGCTAACCGTCTGACGTTTCGAGTCAATTCCGACTCCTCGCATTCGTTCTCGTTACTGCGTGTTTCCTTAGCTGCGGTGAGGAGTGCACTTGTGATGTTCAGTCATTACTATTCGTAACACCCCCCTTCACTCCTGGCCGCAGCTCGACTTGACCAGCTTGACCACTCCGGTGAGATCGGAGCAGTGCTGATACTGCTGGCGTGGCAGTCGCTTCGTGAGGAAGTCTGCTGCCATGTCACCAGTCGGGCAGTAGGTCAAGTCAACCTTGCCCTTGTCCACTTCGTCCTTCACGAAGAAATACCGCAGCGCAATGTGCTTGGTGCGGTTGACGAAACCAGGTTTGTTCGCGATGCGGATCGCGCTCTGGTTGTCGCAGTGAAGACGAAAGGTGGACGAAGCTGGAATTTTCGCCTCCTGCAGAAGTTCCTGTAAGTAAAGGCCTTCGCGAACTGCTGCGGTTGCTGCGATGAATTCCGCTTCGGCTGACGACAGGGCAACCAACTCCTGCTTCTGCGAATTCCAGGAGATTGGTCCCGTTGGTTCGAGTCGGAACAGGAAGCCAGTCCTGGACCGTCGATTCTCGGGATCTGCTGCGTGATCGGCGTCCACGTAGCCGATGAGGTTGAAACGAAGAACTGTAGGGCGCGCTGCAGGTCCAGAAGATTCTCAGCCATTGGTTTGCGTGAGTACTGGGCCAGCTGCCTTGCGATGTAGGAGAGGTTTGGCCTGCAGGTGACAGAGGCGAAGAGCAGGCATCCCAGCTGCTGCTGGTAGGTCTGAATTCTAGCGGGGGATAGGGCTTTGCTGTCAGGTTTGTGGTTCGGTCCGGGAGTTCGGTAGGGAGTAGAGAGCGGTGCAGGTGAAATGTTGAACCGCTTCCCTAACTCCTCTGCGTACTTAGCCGCTGAGAGGTGAATGGCCTCAGGCACGTAGGAGATGTTGAGGCCTAAGAACTACTTCACCTCATAGTTGCATGTGATGTCGACGCGCCCCGCCAGAGCCTTCTCGAATTGCTCGAGCAGTTCGTTGCTTGACCCTGTGTAAAGTAGGTCGTCGACGTAGACCGTGGGCAGAATGTATTCGCCGCGGAAATCGCGGCGATACATCCCAGGATCGTGCGGCATCTGCTTGAACCCGATTTTAAGCAAAATGTTGTGCAGATACTGCTGCAACATCCTAGGTGCCTGCTTGATCCCGTAAAGGGACTTGCGTAGTTGACACACGCGCGAGTCCCCCTCGCCGTATGCATTCGGCTGCTCCACGTAGATTACGGCGTCTACTAATGCGTACAGAAACGCATTCTTGACGTCGATCTGGCGGAGAGGCAGGTGCCTTGCGGCTGCGATGGCGAGCAGGATTCGGACGGAGGTGTGGCGACTGACTGGAGCAAACGTCTGGTCGAAGTCGATCCCATGCCTTTGGTCATAGCCACGCACCACCCAGCGCGCCTTAAAGCACTCGATTGTTCCGTCCGCTGCGGTCTTCACGCGGAAGACCCACTTCCCCGAGAGAACTCTTGCACCCTTGATTGCTACGCGGTCGACTAGCACCCAAGTATCTCTGGATTCGAGGGCCTTGATCTCCGCGTCCATCGCCTCGCGCCACTCCTTGCTGTGTGGTCCAGTGAGGGCTTGGCGTGGGTTTCGTGGCTCGACGACACGTGGCGCCTTAGAGGTTGCGGTGTGAAGTCCGAGCAGCTGTAATCCTGAGACAGTGCTGTCGTGGCGAGGTTGCGGGACGACTTCCTGCACGTCGTCGTCATCGCTTTCTGGTTCAGGTGGCGCTGGTGGTGCAGCGCCACTGCCGCTTCCGCGTGTTCCGCTCATTCCTCCTCCGGAGGGATCTCGCTGTCGTCGTTGTTGCGATCTCCCCATGTGAACTCGCCCTTGGTGTCCTGCTCCAGGATTGCTGCCGCAGCTTTGTCCTCGGGCGTTGTGTAGCTGTGCCCATCGTTTGCGTATACGCGGTTTGCATTCGTCTGCTCGTCGTGGCGGAATTGGTCAAGGAAGAGGCGCTCGTAGAAGATTACGTCCAGAGCGTGGGTGGTCTTCTGACTGAGCAGGTCCAGCACGATCCACGCCTTGTGCTCGTGGCTGATACCGAGGTGAATCCCCCAACGCGCGCGTCTGGCGAATTTGCCGATGGTTGACGTTGGCGGGCGGTATTGGACCATGCACCCCCACACGCGGAGCATGGACGTGTCCCCCTTAGTCCCGGTCCATTTCACATGCGGGGACAAGTTGCCGGTGATGACGGTGGTTGACAGTAGGTTGTGCACCCGCACGGCGTGGTGCATTGCGTAGGTCCAGTAGATCGGCGGTAGTTTTGACTGCTTCATCAATGCCCGCACCTTCGTCATTAGCTTGCGGTTCGTCCGCTCAGCTACGCCCTGCTGCTGGTGTGCGTAAGGGAGAGAAATATGGTGCTCAATCCCCTTTTGTGCGAGGTAATTCTGCATCTGGTTGCTCCTGAACTCTTTTGCGCCGTCAGATTGCCAGATTTTCAGTGTGAGGATCTAGGATCGAGCTCAGAAAAGATGATTTGAATTGAATGATCACCTGGGTACAACACGAGGCTATATATAGGCTCGACACAAGGCAGGTAACCCAGGTGTTACGCGAATGTTCCGAGGGTCGCGAAGCGTCCCGAACAGAACCTTCCCGAACTCGGTAGAAAGCAATTCGGTGGCAACCGAATAGCTTGAGTTCGTTACACGTAACCTGGTTCGGTGCCTGTAACTATAATAACTATAGTAAAGCAACGAACCTAGGAAATCAAGCAATTCATGCATGCAGAAAATAAACCTAAGCTGGGAATAGCGTAAGGAAATAAAAGCAAGCATGCATGGCTGGCATAAGCCGACGTACTCTCACACGTCCCCCCCTCAAAGCTGGGTGGCGTGAGATACACCCTGCTTGACAAGATAATCCTTGAGAGCACGGCGTGCGTTGCCCATATCAGCTTCTGCAACCCATCTGTCCTCAGTGGGGTCATATCCCTTCCAGCGGATCAGGAACTCGAGGGACTTGCCGCCGCGGCGTCGATGAGAGAGAACGCGCTCCACTTCATATTCAGGTTCATCCTGGATGAGAACAGGTGGTG